CTTGGGTGTGTGGGTGGTGTAATGGATAATGGCTCGGAATTGTTAATCCGACAGCCAAGTTTCAATTTCTGTTTGGGTTTGTTCAATTATGCAAAAATACCTTTCTTTTTCTCCCAGCCATGCGTTTATTAGCAAGACTTGTATTCCTAAACCATTATTATCTAAAAGAAATTCTTATAATCTAAAAATGTGTTCTGGATTTAAATAACCAGCAAAATCCGTAGAAAACGAATCAATAATCAATGTCACAAAATTGATAAAGATAGTTGATTCGAGTTTAATATACAGAGGAGTGTTGAAAAGTTCTGAGTCCTACCAAAAAAATAGTGACTTACAGCGATAAAACGTTTATTTTACATATTCATTCATATGTCAACACACTTTTACACATTTTTTTCTTAACTCTTCCAAAAAGAATGCTGATATTTGTTCATAAAAATACTGCTCTCCATCTGTCACTTTGGAATCAAAACAAAAAAAAATTCCCAACTCCTTTGGAAAAAGGAAATATCAAGATGGAACAAGAGATGGTGAGCAGAGAGGAAGTAGAAGATGCAAACCCCAAATGCAACATCTTCATCTCAGCCTTAAACCGGTGCATTATCCAGCAAAAAGAGAATATCTCTCTGAGTCTCCCTTTACTTTACCAAATAACAAAGCCCACATCACTTGGACTTCCAATAGCAGCAACAACTAAAATGAAAAGCACACTTAACTCGGAGAAAATATCTAATTTTTTTTAATCATTTCACCACAAGCAAGGCGATAATGCCACTAAGACGCCATTTTTACTGAGAATGAAAAGACAGTGAAGAGAAACGTCAACAGAAGAACAAAAATCAGAGAGAGAGAGATGGCGATTGACGTTGCATTAAATTTTTTAACATCGTTGTTGGCAGTGAAGCAAGAAACCGGAAAGGAATTACACAGGCGGGAAAAGAAACCACAGATTGAGAATCCTTTATCCAAAATTCTTGGGATCAGAAGTGCTTCGGTTTACAGATTTTTTCGGATTTTTGAATACAGGCTATTTCATTTGTATATAGCATCTATAAAAAGGAGCAACTTATAAATGGAACCCAACCATAAACACGATATCCCTTTACATTTCATAACACAGCTTATACATATAACCTGAAGGTAGTTTTCTATAAAATTTAATAAATTTTGTGTGAATACTGAGACAGGTAATGACGATAGTCATGTAATGTCCATGTAAAAATGAGGTTTTGTACTTTCTGTAAAAAAACAAAAAACAAACAAAACAAAACACGGTCACTACTTATAAAAATATATAAATGCATTTGACATTTTGAATATTTTTACTGAGCACGAAACACCTGGTAAGTAATCCCCGAACGAAGATGTTGCTGTGACGATCGCTAACAAAAACACTGGCGTCAACGTCGCTGGACTAGGGAGCTTCCCACCCAGGGCAGATGAGATCACTTACAACTGCTGTACATCAACTAGGAACCTTCTCGGTGCTTTCTGAAAATTTCCATTTGTTGTAAGACGTATCAGCATTTGAAAAACTTTCGGATTTTGGAATTTCGGATAAAGGATTTTTGTATTTGAACAGACATTATGTTAAGGTTACATCTAGCTGAAGTGGAAAGATCATATTGAATCAGTTGCTAGGTCTACTGCTCGGTAAGTTGGTTCACTGTGTCGTCTTAGACAATTTTTTTCGACAGAATCTATCTTAAACATTCGACCCTCTGTGCATGTATTGAATATTGCTGTCACATAAGGTTTAGTGCTTTTGCTATTTAAATATTCTTGATGAAATCCAAAGAAAAATCTGCAATGTTATTGGTCCTGTCATAGCATATCCACTTCAGCCAACGTCGTAATGTAGCTTTTCTGTAACTTTTCTATAACTATTTTCATCGTAATCTTTTTCTGATGAGATTTCCTATTTGGTACCTTGATTTTACTCATCTAAGCGTAGTACTAAATTGTCAGGGTGGAGTAATGGATAGCGGCTCGGATTGAAAAATCGGAAAGCCGAGTTCGAATTCCCGCCGACTCCCATAACAAATGTATTTCCAGTGAATGGCAATTTCCTATTTTTTCCAAATGTGCCAACACAACCAGGTAACAATGCTGTAATGAAAACGCCTGAATTGCACGACGGAAATCACAGGCTATAGGTCATTAGATACAGCACGGTGGAGTAATGAATAGTGGCTCGGATTGAGGAATCGGAGAGCTGAGTTCGAATTCCACTCGAATCCATTACATTCACTTTCGTGCTAATACCCTTGGGAGAGGTATAAATCCTCTTCTTCTGCCTCAGCTATAGGTAAAGGACAGACCGGGTTGTATAGCCTTGGCTGGTAAGTAGTCTACCGCAGAAAGAAATTGCAACCTCCTGCGGGAAAAAATCTGCCCTCGTCAGTGTATCACTCATGGCACGTAACTGAATAAATTGTCAGCTCGATCTCATTTTATAGTTGAAATGGTTACATGTAACCGTAAGTTCCATGATAACAGTTTATTATCTCTCACTTCTCAATGGTGGAACTCTCTTCCGGTTTGTTGCTTGCCAGTCAACTTTGATCTTCAAAAATTTAAATGCAATATCAATTGATACCTTTTGTCGTCTTACTTCCTCTTCATTTATTGTTCCCTCTCTTTAATCCTGTTTTTTTTTTATCTCATATTCTTTCACATTTTATTGGTATTAATGGCTTGGTTAAGGTGAGATGATTATATTAAAAAAATAAATGAATGAATGAATCCTATAGGTCTTTGAGATGACAATTCTTCTGAGAACCTCGTGGAGTGGCACTACAGAATCCCAAAGAAAGATCTCTATCAAATAACAGCAAACACATCACTTGAGGAAATACTGGAATGGATAGCACATGTAACTCGAAGTGTCAAATTCTCCAAGCCTTCTTTTCTCATTATGTATCCAAGAATTTTAAAAATTATCACATTCTGATTCTAAGTATCAGTGATCTTTTTAATTTCCATTTTCCTTAAAACTTCCTCGTTGCTCACATGCCCCGTCCATGTTATTCTCAGCATCCTTCTGTAGAAATTTTGGTACTTTGCTTAGTTCTTGGAAGGATTCTTTTCCTATCGGATTCCAGTGCCACATTTTTCTTCCTCAGTTTAAATTCTACCAATGTGTCTTTTATTAAACTATTTTTAATGTTTTTTAATCATTTCACCGCAACCAATGTAATAAAGCCACTAAGACGCAAGGGGGGTTACTGAGTGTGAGAGAATATAAGAGAAGGGAATATGAGAGAACGTAAGACATTATTAAGGAGAGAACTCAATAAAAGAACAAGAATTAAGAAGTAAAGAAAGCTATTTCAACAGTAATACGGTGAGACTTAATTGCCAATGTAGTAGTTCGCATAAATTCATGCGAACGACGTAAACAAAATGTTAGGAAGTTTACCCCAATCGATATTAGAAAGAGCTATAACAGTCAGCCGTCTTGAGAAGACTATTTTCTTAAAAAGTTGTTTGAAGAGAAAGATTTTATAAGTTTTAACTTGTAAATGGATTGCGAATGTTTCCTCTTTGAAAAAGGCTAATCTTATCGCCGCTTTTTATTTACCGCCTCCTCCCATCGGCACAAGAAAGTGCGGTATTTTATAACTACTTCACTGTTCTAAAAATCAGCCAGACTTCAAAATGTCTTCCTTACTCCAAATAACCTTACCCATTTCCATTTTGCATGAATCATCTCTATCTATAAAAGGCAGGATGTGCGCGTGTGTGTGTAACGTATGCACGGCCGCAATTTGTGACGGATTTGCACCAAAATTTACATGCACATGCTCCAAGTTAGCGGGAAGGCAAAGACTAACTTTGCATTTCCCAACTCCCATCGATAGTGGAAATAATCGATTTTTTCATGCTTCTACGGCAGTTTTCATGTAGTTTGCGGCCATTTTCTACTGGTCAGAGTTAGAGCCTATAGCTGGCTGTCACAAATAGGCAGGAAGATTCTATTAGCCACCGTGAGAGCCAACAGCTGACTGACACGAATGTTAACTAGCATGCTAGCCATAAAAAAATCGATATCTGCATTCGTCACAAGTGAGGAAAATTTAAACCTTCATGGCACTTTACTCCAATTGGCACATTCGCTTTCTTAAACTCAACGTTGATTCTGATTCCGCAGAACTGGGTTGGGTGTGAAAAAGTATTTGTTGTTAACATTCTTTTTTCATTCGGTTTTTCCAGTTACGAGTCCTTTTTTAAAGCTGATCGTTTTGTGTTCATTTTGTTTAGTTCTTTTTTCCTAACAGATTTAATGTTTAGTATAGAGCTTAGAAAAAAATCGCAGTGTGAGATGGGCAAGAAGTAAGGCATGTAGCAATATCAGCACGGCAAAGGGCACTCCTTTAAAGGCAAGGAAGGGCAAAAATATTTTAAGTCAAGTGATAGCAATTGCTGTATGAGTCGTACGATTTTTGAATCAAGCACGGGCAACGCCGGGCAATGCTGCTAGTGATAGATAAATACACTTCTTTCTGAATTTACCGCTTAATACTGGAAAGAGCGATAACAGCTACTGGACTTGAAAAATCTTTTTTTTTGTGAAAATTTTCTTTAAGGGAAAGATTTTAAAAAATCTTAACAGGCAGTAGTTTTGACTATTCGGTCAATGTCAAATGTTTCTTTATAATGAAATGGCTAATAAGGCCTTACCAGTACCACGTGAAAACATTTTTAGACTAAAGAACAGGCCACAATTTTACGAATATCCTGTAGAAGTCAGGAATTATAATGATCATTGATAATGAATGCTAAAAATAGTCTTTATAAATCGACAAAGAAATTGACTGACAAACGAACCGAGAGAGAGGGAAAGTGATAGACAAAAGAGATTGAACAAACGAAGAGAAAGTTAGAGAGAGAGAGAGAGAGGGATAAAACTAAAAACAGAGAGAAAGACCTATACAGAGGAGAAAAGAACACTATATAATAAAGTGTATTATATGAGGCTCATAGTATTGAAGATTATC